ATCGAGTGTGGTTTTTTTAAATTCTGTTTGTCACCTTTTCTTAGCATTATTGTAACCTATTGCTTTTTAGTCGAACACCACATGACTCAGCCAGAAGCATTCTTAAAATTACCTCAATAAATCAAAGTGAGCACCAAATAAGTTCGTTTTTAAATCATCTCTCGGTCTAATGCGTACATTAGTTCGGAGATAACCGCTGCTCAAGTTTACCAAGGCATAACCGAAAGGAAATTATGGCCACCAATTCGAGTGAAAAATCAATCACGTTACGTTACATGTGGGTCGCCTGTCGCGATCGCGGGTGACCCGGGACAACGAAGGAATTCGGCACGAAAAATCCCTTGAACTTTGCAGAAAAAGAAGTGCAGCGAAGGCAACCATTACCAAGTAGATCACAGAAGTTGCGGAATGCATTTCTTTTTCTCGAAAGAAAGAATTCTATGAGACACATTTGAATGACTGTTATGTCATGTTTTGACGTAAACCCAGCATGAATAAAAACGTAAACAAAAGAGCAAGCTTAAATTTTGGCCTGTATGGATGAAATCTTGGCAGCAAAATGATGTTGTAAAGGTCTCATTGAAATCATAAAACTGAGCGCCCCCATACATGATCTAGTTCACCACCCCTGGAAGTTCTGGAACTTTTTTCCGCGATAAGAATGCGGCCAGTAGTGTATTTGTTATTAACCTATTCATTGAAACCTGTAAATTAAGGTATAGTTTAGGGTATACCTAATATTTATAACGATTTTGACTTTTTTGAACTTTTTCGTTCTCTTCTTTCAAACCATCGTTTGTCAATGCTATCACTTCCTTAGTGGTTGTTGACGCACTGTTTGGAATACACATATCAATGGCTTTCAAATGGTATATCATACACGGGTATAGGGGGTCTGTTAATTGAATTGTGGAAAATCCCCAGCAATTTAGGGTGAAAGGGTTAAAGAAAGTGTATCTAGTAACCATTCTGTAGTTATCGTACTTCACTAAACTGTCTATATATCTATCTACTTTACATGTACACCTTGATTTCTACCAACTCACCTTGAAAGAACCAAAAACATGATCGAGACGGTATTGAATTTAACTTAAATAATGGGTTTACCACATTTTTCTCATTGCATCTTCACTGGTATAATCCGATGAATTTGATCATGAATGCCCTATAACTCATCACTTTCATGAAGTGGTCATAGTATGGTAACTTGTTTGTTTTTTCCTTTGCTCAGGTACCTATTTGACAACAAGATATCTGTGATTGAACCGGGATCGTTCCCACAACGGCACCTGGCACAATTGTTAGTAATGTTTCTTTAAACTGAATTTCTGTATCGTGTTATGTGGAATCCATCATTTAGTCCAAGCGTCCGTCTGCCATTTAAATCCCACCTTAATCGATGCCTTTTAGTTTTAACAGATTCAAATGTGCTACGAGTGTTCAGTCAGTACAGTTTGTGATTTGGAACCTTTAAGCTATAATTAAACCTTTCAATTTTTATCTTATGGCAGGCTTTTGTACAAAAACCCCACATTATCGTCAATAACTATCGTAGCTGATGGAAATAGTAAACCCAATGTGACGGTTTATATGTGAGTACATGCGTTTTATGAGGGTTTTGCGCTTCCCTTTATAACAGCCTAAAGTGATGGGAAAATGCCTTTGCCGTTATTTAACTTGTCACTTCCCTAAGATAATTCAGCATGGCTTTTCTAACCCAGTGTCTTATGAAGTTTTCATAATTTTCGGAAAATTAAAAAGTTTCATAACCATGAGGAAGAGACATGACCGCCTCTTGCTCTGGTACTAGAAGGCAATGTAATAGCATGAATCTGTCGCAGAGTTACACAGCAAAAAGTATAAAATTTCAGATTAGGTAATTTTACCCTCCTGAAGAAAGGCTCATCAAGTGGCCGGGATTCACCCAGCCATCAAGGAAGAGAAATGACTGATACAATCAGACTGCTACAGTACTAGTAAAAAAACTGCGAAGCAGGAAGTAATGGCAACTTTATACTCTGGCCAAAATTCTTACCAGCGCAATAGCGCCGTTGTAATTAATAGGATAAAGATGCAAAGGATATAATTATTTTCATTAGAGTCTGAGAACAAATTGCAGAGTAAATTAAGCCACTTCCGTTCGAAGCCTAGTTATGTTATTTATTAGAAGTTTATCACCAATCTGATCAAAATTACATTTTATAGAATAACCCATGTAAAGCTGTAAAGCAATTTATAGACATCCGTGTAATCTGTTAAACTGCTGTCCCCGTCTCACTTGCACGACCAAAGAGAGTATTTGTATTTGCCAGGCTTTCATATCTTTGCAAAGGAGTTAATATATCTAACTGCTGTTTATAGGTTTTCCGAGAACCTTCCGTCTGTTCCAGTTAAAGACGGTGTACATTTAAACGTACTTCAAACAAACGGATTCCGTTGTAGAGATGATACGTATACGTGCCAAATCTGTCCAAGGGGGACATATTCAAGGGGAGATGGTGTATCCAAAGGATGTTTACCGTGTCCAGCAGGTAATACAACTGGGATCCAATATTAGTTGTGCTACATTATAGCACTGATATCCCGTTCATACAAACATGTTAAACATGTTTTAAAGTGGTTTAACTAAACAAGGTTAGAAATTATTTGCTCATACACTGCAGACCTCACCACCAATTTGCCCTCTCAAAATGACTGCATAGTGTAATCTACAAACGAGGTATCCATTTTAAGTGTTCCTGTCTTGCACTATGTGATGACGCCCTCCCTTTTTTTCGTAGAGAAAAGGCCAAATCGAAAATAGCCACGATTGTATTATACTTTCTGAGTTACAATAACATATATATAAAAAAAAGCTGAGGATTACAAAAAATATCAGGTATTTCCTTATGTAAAAGGTATTCGCATGTATCTCATGGTTAAACCTTATTATTGACAATTCCAGGGGGCTTTTTTCAAGACTCAGTTGCAGCAATTGGTGTCACTGCTGAAGGACATGGATGTCAGCATTGTCCCAATGGAACGTTTATACACCCAAAATACGCACCTGGAAAAGCATCTTGGGAGTGCAAAGCGTGTCCAGAAGGTCATTATTTCGAAATAAGTTTGATATCAATAGTTCGTATAGTAACAAACGTTACCTTTCGTGATTTTGGTTGTTGGTTTGTTTGGAAAACGTTGGCAACGAAGTTAAAATTTTCTTTGTGCCTAAATCGGCATTTATGAATCCCTGAAGGTAAACCCTTGCCCGTATCACAAACAACATGACCTGCGTGTACAAGTGCACTGCAATTAGAAGTAACCGTATTTGAAGAAATTTCAGTTATCAGTTTAAGACTGCCGATAGAAGAAAACTGTTTCCGTTGGTCAAAGTATTGTGCTGGTTTTCATTCTTTTTGTAAATTTTCCCGTCATTCTTTTTATATCTCGCCATTTTAGGTACTAACACGACAGCTTTGGCTGGATTCAGGGCATGCAGGTGCCTAGAGAACTACTTTCGCTTGGATCGCTTTGGTTCATGTACGGCTTGCCCTGGTCAGGGCGTCGCATGTTCTAATGACACATTACGTTTGTCACGCGGGTTTTACTGGTCATGGACGAGAAACGGAAGTAACTCCCATAAGCACCTTTACAAACTTCTGATCGCTAATTTGGCGATAGAAAGCGACAGCTACCGCAATGAATCAATGAAATACGTTGGCAGAGTTCCAAAAGCCTACAAATGTATTCGTCAAGACTCCTGTCTTGGAGGAATTGACTCCGAATGTGCCGAGGGCTATGCTGGACCTCTATGTGCCAACTGCCAATCAGGATTCTATAAACGGATGATCGCATGTCACAAGTGTCCTTCAAAGAAGCTCATTGCTATACAGTTTGGAGTGCTGGGCTTCATAGTACTTGTGATCATCTTAGTTATCGTCAAGAGCGAGAAGTCTTCTAAGCCAGGGAGGAGAACCGTAGCTGACATCTTTCTTTCTCACGTGAAGATTGTTATCGGGTTTTATCAGGTTTTGGCAGGCTTACTTCAAGCGTTTTCGTATGTCAAGTGGCCTTCCGAAGTTTCTGTCCTTGAGAGTTACATTAGGTTTGTCCAGCTTAACGTCTTACAGATTGTTTCCCCAAGCTGTGTCGAAAAAAGTTTCGAAATGAATGCTTATAGCCATTTCGTTTTCACATTGGCTGGAAATGTGGTCATTGTCGTTGTTCCACTGTTTTGGTACCTTGCCAGGATAACATGGATGAAGATAAAACAAAAACAACTCGACGAAAGTCATCTCATTGACATTAAAAAGCCTTGTCTCAAAATTATAGCATTTCTGCTCTTTGTTGCGTATCCATCTACGTGTGTCAACATTTTTCAGATTCTCCCCCTCTCTTGTCACAAGTTGTGTGCATTTGAAGGAGCTTCTAACTGTCCATCGTTTCTAAGAGCTGACTATTCAATTCTGTGCGACACAGATACACATAAGAAGTACATATGGGCAGCGTATGCCTCTTTAGCATACGTAATTGGCTTTCCTATTTTTCTGGCGTACATCGTGTGGAAAACCCACCTACAGTCTCAGAGATCCAACAGATTCTCCCTGGCCGATGAAAGAGGCAGCATGGAAGCAGTGGCATTTGCCATTTTGTTTCTGCATGAAAATTACTCACCAAGTTGCTGGTATTGGGAAAGTGTGGAAATGGCGCGAAAAGTGATCCTGTCGGCTGGCGTTATCTTTGTTGGATCGGAAAGCCGCACGCAAGTCGGAATCGCCGCCATGGTATCGGCTGCATTTGCAATGCTCCATGGGAGATTTAGACCAATAACTGACAGATTTGAGGATTACTTGCAAATGACGTCCCTCTTGGTGACGTCATTCAACCTTGGAATAGGTGTGCTGCTGAAGGTGCCTTCAGATGAAACAACTGGAAGTCGTGATAACGTCGGCCTTGGAGTTTTGCTTTTGGTGACAAATGCATTGGTAATATGCATTGTGTTAGGTGAGATAATTAAGGATATTAATATCATATTTGATTAATTTCGTACAGTAAGCAATTATTGAACGAAGCTGAGTATGATATGAAGAATTGTGCAGTCGTTTCTGTATTTGAATACTAGCAACCATTCAATCTTGTATTCAGCGCGGTCTAAAAACATGCCACTAGAAAGCACTTCACTTTTTGAAATTTTCAAAACATATTGACAGAGTATTGCCATGTATTTTAGAAACTATATAAGTATCTAGTTTCTCAATACCGCGTAATATTTTGCAAATACGCAGAAAACACTACACTAGTCGCTTGTAATTACTCAACAGATACAGTCGAACCTGTATTAAGCGGTCACCCTCGGGGAATGGCTAAGTGACCGCTTAATACGGGCTGACCGCTTAATACAGGTTGTACAAAATACAGGTCAGAACACAGTGAAAATGCAGTTTTATATCACAGTTAATGACGGAAGGGAAACGCGTAAACAGAGGTGGTGGCTAAGGTCTAGAAGTGCCATGTGAATATCAAGGCCGGATGACTTCTTGTGTAACTGGCTTAAACAGAAATTAATGAAAGAAGAATTCAATCCGCAATGCTGACAAGACTTTTGACCTCAAGACAGAAACATTAATATGATCCGGCGATTTAATGATTTGTGAAAATAAACAAGGAAATCAATTACCTGGTGTGCTATTTGTAATTGTAGGAACTAGAATTTGAGTGGTTTGCTTTTGCAAAGTGACCGTTTAATACAGGTCAAGACAATAGAAACAGCTCGTCGGGACTTAGTAAAGGGTGACCGCGACCGCTTAATAGAGGTCAAAATTACAGTAATTAAGGGAAGTAATTTTCGGGACTTTGACGACTGACCGTTTAATAGAGGGTGACCGCTTAATACAGGGCCGCTTAATAGAGGTTCGACTGTAAATAGTATTGGGAGTACTTCAGCTTTTGTACAGATCCCAACTACCGTACGCAATAGACCTTATGACGCGTTGGAAAGTCATCTTGACGCGTAGGTTTCAGAGTTAGAAATGCAATGAAAAGCAATCAAAGGATAACATCAACCAATATGAGGGATGTAGCTTGCTAGAAAGCTCTCAGTCGTGTTTTTATTTATTTTTTTTATTTATCCTTACAGTTTTCCATGTTCTTTTTTCCCTCGAACTTTTACGCGGCTTACAAGTTTGCACTATTTCTCGAAAAATAATCATACGCTAATATATGGAAACATAAAAACAAGATTGGACGCTTTCCAGCACGGCTACGTTCGTCATATTTGGCCAAGGCAATCTTTTATTTCCCATTGGATTCCCATTCAAGCACTGTAACCCGCAAAGCCATAATACAGTACCCGCGTTAAACTTACGGCACTGAAGTTGCAATTGAACTTTCTTTACATTGCAGCACGTTATTTGCTCGTCTCTTTCCGCCTTGCGATAGATTTTCGCAACAACCCTCGGTTCAGCTGTCGTTGCCTGTTTCTGTTGATGACCACAGCACAGGAAGTGCAAGGAGATGCCAACGATGTTAATTTACAGGGAGCGTCGGCGCCAACAGTGACAAGTGGATCAGACTTTGAGATACACACTGCTATCACTGCCGTGAACGAGTGCTTCGACATCGACTGTGAAATCAATATTCAGGATGACCCCTCTGCGCAGAGAACGGAAAGCTTTACAGCAAGTCTGTGAAATTAAAAAGAAAAAACTTACCTACGCTGTAAACGAGAGCAGGCAAACTTTGGAATATTGAAATGTTAAAAACTGAACATAGCAAGGTCAAAATCCCAACTGGAAAAAGACAGATTTCACATGCATGTTACCGACACTAACGATAGCCCAAGACGTAAGTGAGACAAGCATATGCTTTTCAACAACTTCAGACTAGTCGGTAATTTCGCAGTCCCACTTTAACCTAGATTTCACTACGACATAAACACAGGCATGCATGGCAAGCATAACCGTAGTGAGGAAGCCTACAGCACAAGCATAAGCACAAGCGCATGGTAGCTACCACGTAGTGAGGACGTGCACAACACAAGCAAAAGCACAACCACAAGCAGAGCAAAAGCTTTTGTTCTTTTTGTGCTTGTGCTTATGCTTATGTCAAGTGAAAACGTGCTTCTGTAAACATCATCATAAGCGAAGTCCGCCATCTTGTTTTACTACATTGAGGAGATATGGAACCGAAAATAAGGAAATTATCCATTGTACGCATGTCTTCACGCTTACGCTTGTGTTGTGGGCGTTCTCACAACCGTTATGTTTATGCTTGTGCTTGTACTTATGTTGTAGTGCAAACCAGGCTTTACTTGTAAAAGTCACAGCATTCTACAATTCATTTCGTTTGTCTTATAAATTCCTTAAATAGTACAGGTAAAAACTTAGACTTTGTACAACAATATCAAAGTAGCTGTATGGAGAAATGCTCATAGCAATACAGAGTTTTGAAAACTATGTTCAGTCGCCCTAGCGGCTAATAAAATTATAAATGAAATTACGCTCTTCTTGACACTCCATAACATAGACCCAAGAACAGATGTTCAAAGTTTAACGTAAATCAAACCTGGGCAGACTTTGATAAGTTATTTGCTATTTAGCAATTAGATTTTCGCTTTCAGTTTCCATGACGGGATTTTTGATGGGGACGAAACTTTTTTCCCCAACAATTTCGAATTCTTAAAGTCAAGAAACCATAATTGTGTTTCTTCTCTTAGTTATTTTTGGACCTTAAGGGCCCATTTCGCGTGCTTTGCTAAGGAAGTGAAACATCAGTTCCGGTTACTTGCGTCAGCCTGAGGGTGGGAAATGTAAGTAATTTAAAGGGGAGGGGGGAGTGGGGTTCTTACAAGATGTCTTTGAATTGACTCCAAACAATTGCCTTTCAAAAACTGCAAAATTTCTGAGTTTTTAAACCCACTTTGCACAAAAAGTATTCAATTCATCGGCTCAAATTAACTGGCAGAGTTAATCGTATGTTGTACAAATATATAAAATTTTCGAGCAAAGTTTCGAAAAGTATTATTGAATTACTGTTCGCTAACAGTAACAAGACAAAATATTTCAGCTGTTGCTACAATTCAGGGAATAGTGAATTTACAGTCAGTTTATGGGAACTAGCATTATCCACGGTTTTTAAAACTGATTGACCTTACACGATCATATTACTGAAGTTTCGTGCAATTAGAAAGTCGTGCATTTTCCTTGAATGAGGCATTCCATTGTCGTCTTCCTCTGTTTCAAAGCAAGTCTTCGTGACGGAAAACGTTTCATGCGAGCATGATTTGATTTGCATGAACATTTCATATGGATGGCTTCTCACTTTTATAACGCGAAAATGAGGTTTTGTACACGCCGTTAGTCAAGAAATTTTGGCAGCTGGGGCGCGCTTTAGTGGCCGTTGCCGTTGCAGAGAGCCGGAGGTTAAAATAAGAGTGAATGTATGGAGCGCTGGCCGGGACAAAAAAGCATGGCCGTTGTGGAGAGAACTCCGTTGGTGGAGTTTCGACTGTGCTACACTAAGAGGAAACAATGGTAGAGGCGAAATTTCTGGAACAAATTTTTCTCAATAAAACAGTGTTATTTATCGTTAAAAAGATTAGGAGGTATAAATCTTATTGCAGTGTGTCTTTCGGTTATCATGTCTTCGCAAAAGTGTAGTTTTAATCGGCGAGGGAAGTAGCGCTCCTTCAGCTAAGTAACATTTGTAGATTAAATACTTTGCCGCTAAGTAAGCAAAGGCAAGCTTAAGGCTTTGTGGTATCGCGTGAGTTGACAAGTCCATATGGAAGAATTGAGTCTGATAAATCAACTTTTTCGTGTTTTTTTGCGACTACCCCGCACAAAAAATCATTCCAGAATGGGGCTAAATGGGAGCACTTTAAAAACATATACGTGGGTGTATGATATGTGGTAGTTTTTTTTAACACCAGCATTTGTCACGTTAAAAATGATCTCTTCCTGTGGTGCTCGGGGTATCAGTGATTAATTTTGTGGTGATTATGATATTGCCAGCACTTCCTCGCGGTGGCAATAAATATTTCAAGGCTTTCTGGGATGTTCAGTATATGTCAAAACGTATTGCTAATCTCAAAATAATAATAAAAAAAGATAGAATATTATCATTTTTTTATGTACACTTTTAGAAGTATTTAATTGTAATTAGTGAATGTGTGAATAAAAAAAGATGATACCATTAAATGCCGTTCAATGTAGTAAAATACCTCTAATTTGAGACTCACGTGAAATAATAAAGTGAAGCTTTACGTTTAGTTAACTGGTAATTACTGGGAGTAAGTCGAATGCTGTGAACACTTGTCACAGAACAGTGCCGAAAATGCTCATAAAAGCACATTGTCTTTCTCTTGACCCGTCTAATTTAGAACTCACATAAAGTAATGAGGTAAAACTTTAAATTTAGTTTAGAATAATTCTCTTTTTATAATGTGTGATGTGTGGCCAGACCAGACGGGTCGATATGAAACGATCCAGAAAAAAAGCTGCCCAATCCGTACACGACAGCAAATCATTTAGCGGACAATTCAGGCCAATGCATTCACCGGTTGAGACATTTTAAAAAACAACTTTCCGGCAAATTGAGCTCAGTTATAAGATGGTATATAAAGAGACTTATTAAACTGTGTAAAGTCGGGTCGGATCTAGAAATATATGTCTCAAAGTCGTGGCGAGGTTCGTGCAAAATGACCACAAGCCAAATAGTTTTCGTCTGTACCAACTTTAACGAACAGCTTAAGCCAACGTTAATTTTAATTTCGTTCAATACGTAGTGATCCCCTTAGTCAATGACTTAATAATATAGCGTCGGAAGATGATTTTTAACACAGTAGATTTAATTGTAATTTAATTTAGATTTAAATTTAAATTTTCATTTGATTTTCATTTAATTCGGTCAAACCTATAGTTTAGCACGTTTTTTTTTTATATTCAAACACTTTTGAAAATGTTACTGCGTAAAGCCAGCCAGTAAAATGCCAAATGTGCTTATATTTTAGAAGGGTGGTAAATCACCTAGTAAATCTAAATACAAAAATATATAGCTAAAAAACTTTTGCGTGGAGAAGCACTTTTACACCACAGTAAATAATTCCAAAAATTGTTATCAAGCGATAAAAATCTTGATCTAATCATCCGTTAATTGAAATACTGAAGAACACGCTTTTCATAATTTTTTTGACTCTATATGCGTCTTTACAATTTAATTTCATCTTAATTAAAGATATAATATGGTGATGATGGAGAAGTTTGTTATCAAATCTTCTCAAATGTTTTTCTACATCAAAACTGGAGGAAATATACCGAAATTGGAGAAATTAAAATGTTTTTATCTCAATTGTATACCATTTTGTACGCCTTTGTATGTCTTTTTTACGCCTTTTTTATGTTATTACAAGATGCAACAATATTTAACAATTATTCACCGAAATTGAGGTGAATAGTGATGGATATTCACCGAGCCGCGAAGCGGCGAGGTAAATATCCATCACTTTCACCGACACTGAGGTGAATTATATATACCACACAAGCTGAATAATTAGCGGACCAAAACGCTATTTTATGTGTGACAAGCGGTCGGAAGTTTTAAAATCTCTCGCGCCGGCTGCTCGGAGGTGAATAGTACTTGCTAATCACCTCCGAGTTAACCAATCAGAGCGCGCGAAAAGCACTATTCACTTGTGTGCTGTATACTAACACTTGAATCTTCTCCAGTTTTACCTGAGGAACATTCAGTGCCGTGATGCGTTTAGGCGAATCGCGCGCGAGCGACAATATTTGATGAATTATAATGCTTATAATAAAAAACTGGGTCATTGGATAATTAACATAGCCATCATGGTATATGAGCCATTATAATCTGGTTGGTCGCTTGTAGTTGTTGGCCCTTAGAACTAACTTAGTCGTGTAAAAAGTGGTGTTTCAACTGTTCCTTCTTACAAGTTGCGAGAAACATTCTCAGCTGTCCGCAGGTGTAAAAGGGGCGGTATAAATAACTTGCGTAAGCCAAGGAGCTAGACGTTTGAATGAACTTGCCACTCAACGTAAAACACATCTGCGAATGTTAAAAGGATTGTTTAATAAGCACAAGTTACAAATCAGCTCTTTCTTTCTTTTTTTCCTCTTACGCAATCCTTCGTTAAATTAACAATTAGTTACCCTAACCATGAACTTTTCCTGTTCATTTTTTTCTTTCTCTAACTATCGTAACGAGTCAACTTTATCGTTCAGTGTAAATAAAGCGTCACTGCTGAACGCATAAATAACGTAAATAGTTTATTTTAAACCTCTTTTGTACTTTTTCAGTTTACTAGTTAATTCTGGTCCCTATTTTTCTCATCTGATTTCCTTCTGTCCATGTTATCCGGGCCTATCTGGTTCAGGGCCATAAAAGCCTTCGTAAGCAGAACATTCCTTCACTGTAACTGTCCCTCTTTCCGTGGTAACGTCTGTGATTATCATACTGTTGGCTAGGAATTCAAATCGCGAATACCGTGGGATCACCGGGGTGTTTTTGACTTCCGAGGGGGCAGGGAGAGGGGTTTCATTCCGCGTAG